AAATTACATTAAAAAAAAAAACAAACAGGAGAGGGACTGGAGAGATGGCACTGACTGTTCTTGCAGAGGACCTGGGTTCGATTCCCACGACCCACATGCCAGCTATGAACCGTCCTTAATTCTAGTTCCAGGGGAATCCAACATCCTCTTCTGACACCCTCTTCTGACTTCCGTGGCATTGCATGACACGGATGCACTCACATATATGCAGGCGATACACTTATAAAATAAAAAGTTACACATTCTAGTGTATAATTAAACCAATTAATTCTATTAAGTTCAAGCTGTTGCTGATTTTTCATTATTGCAAAAATGCTGAGACACTTCTGAATAAAGACTGCCTCATATTTAAGATTAGACTAGATTTAAAGAAAAGAATAGGTCATAATACAGACTTTGCTGTTCAGTAAACATTCTGGGCAGTTAGAAAAGTAAACAAGGTAATTTTTAAGCCACAGTAATTATATAATTATATATTTACATGGTCTTATAAATGCACTATAGTGCTTTCCAAAAGCCATGTATTAGTTCTTAATGTTATGTGAAGTATGAGAATACTATTATTGTAGTAATAGAACTGACTTACAGTATTTTGCCTTCTCAATAGGCAAAAATAATAAACGTTCACAAAGTATCTAATGTAACTCCTCAGCAAATGTTTGGTATTCTCATTTTCATTATGACTATCACCAGGCATATCTAGCTCTTTTACCTGTTAAGGCACTGTTAACATGTAACTCATCTAGCTTAAATTTGTTTTAATGTTTTGTGTAAGTACTGACCTCATTATTAGTCATTACTTAATGCAACTGATTATAAATGAAAGTTGGTTATTAAGAGGATAGCCTTTGAGCCACTGGTCTACCCTTGCTCCACTGTAATTTAGGAAAGGTTATTTAAATAATAATAATAATAATACCTGCCTTTGGGTTAAAATAATTAGATTACATAGCCCTTCAACCAGTGCTGGCATATAAGGAATGCGTCATTAATATTTATTGACTAAGCCTGCTTTCATACTAATAAGAAAATATAGTGAGTCTTTGTATCTATCTTTGGGCTTTTTAATCTTATATTTAGTTACTTTATATGGCTTCCATCAACACTAGCATATTTTAATGATTATAACTATAAAACATTTTTTAACATTTTATTTTTTATTTCATGTGTATGAGTGTATTACCTACATGTAAGTACCCATGTCATGCACTGCCCACAGAGATCAGAAGAGGGCGTCAAATTTCCCTGGAACTGAAGTTAGTTATTAGCCATGTGGGTGTCAGGAATTAAACCCAGGTCCTCTGCAGTAGCAGCAAATGCTCTTAACTACCGAACCATCTCTCCAGCCCCTTTATAAAACATTTTGATACATGAAACTCCTTTTGCTCTTTTAAAGTATCAGCCATCCTTCAACATTTTCTCTCTTAGTTAAACCAGAATAATTTTATTCAAAGAGTATTTCAGCCAAGCATGGTGGCCTACACCTATAATCCCAGGAATTAGGAAACTGGGACAGGGGAACAATCGTTGAGGCTAGTATGGGCTGTCTCACCATGTGTTCCACAGAATCACTGTGTAGCCCCGGCTGGCTTAAAACTCTCACTCCTGGGCCTGGAGAGATGGCTCGGCGGTTAAAAACACTGGATTTTTTGCAGAAGACCCGGGTTCAAATGCCAGCACCCACATGGAAGCTAACAACTATATGTAACTCCAGTTCCAGGGGATCCGACAGCCTCTTCTGACCTCTGTGGGTATTGCACAACACAGGTGCACTTACCTACATGCAGGCAATATACGCATACACATAAAAATAAAATAAAATGTTGAAAGTCTCTCAGTGCCCTTGCCAGCCTTCCAAGTACTGAGAATTTAGGAAGAAGAGAATTCTTAATAAATGTAACTTTCAAAATACTTTTGTGATTCTGATGAAAATGGCATCCTATTTATTAGAGAAAACTGACATTTCAATTTACAAACTATCTTCTGATAAGAATGCTGTATTTCGCTCCATATAGGACTGTCTTATCTGTTATGTCCTTTAGTAAATGGTTGAAGTTTTCTTAATTTAAGTCCTCGTTACCTTTAATCAGAGATATTGCCATTTATGATTACATATTCTATCTAGTTGTTGCTGCAATTTATAAATGATGTTGGGTTTTTGTTTCTCTTCCCTCCTGCCAGTTCTGCTGACTGGACCTAGGGCCATCAGACACTGAGCCAAGCACACCCCCCTCCTCAGCCCTAAAACAGCAGATGTTTATAATACTCATCTGACATACATTGAATTTACTCTGCAATTTCTCAGGTAGATGTTTATTACCTGAAAATAATTTATCTTTGTGTGACTTTTTTGAAACTAAAATTACAAGTTTTCAAAAACTCAAAGTATGTTGTTTTTCCTATAATTGCTTTCAAGTGTAAACAATGTTCTCATATCCTTTGAGAACACCCATAAACATTTCATTATCATTTTCTTGAAGTTTTATTGTATAGATTTTAAAATCTTATTTTACATTCTTGAAGCCAACTAGAAAATATTGTGATGTACGGTGTGATATAATTGTGAAAACTGTTTGTGCAAAAAACCCAACAATACTATTTATGAAATGGTTCCCAACTTTCTTGATTATACAATAAAGTATAAGCTTTATGGTCTGTTTCATGATGTTTTTCTTGAATATAAACAAAATAAAAATCTACACTATTAGAGATTTTTGGCCTGTCTCCCTCTGTGGTTGAGCTACATTTTTCTCAACAGTTTTTCTAGAAATTCCTTTTATGTTTTGCCCCTTTCTTTCTCCTGAGGGGGTATGGGATAATTTTTTATTTATTTTTATTTTATGTGTATGAATGTTTTACCAACATGTATGTAAGTGTACCTATGGAAGCAATGCCAGTAGAGACCAGAAGAGGGCGTTGGATCTCCTGGAACTCGAGTTAAGGACAGTTGTTAGTCTCCATGTGGGTGCTGAGAACTGACCAATGAGTCACCTCTCCATCCCTAACACCCATTATTTCTTTTTTTTTCTATTAACATATTTAATTATAACATGTTTGATAATAATCGTACGCGAATTCTAATAATATATACAAAGTTTCCCTTAATTTTAAGATCACCAAGTCTACTGTAACTCCAACTCACATTGTACTAAACATCTGCACTAATAAAGAGAATTAGTACCCTTAATTTTACCATATAAAAGTACTTTTTTCTATTTATCAGTACTTTGTAATTTTCATTTGGTAGGTATCATAAATTTATTGCTAGGATTGCTCCTGCGTTCATTCATTCCTTCATATCTCCCTGAACCCTTCCCACTTATTCCCTCTCCATCTAAAGGGCTAGGACCTAGGGTCTCAAGCACTAGGCAACCCACATGCTTTTTGTTTGTGTATGTGGTTTATAGGAAAAGACTTAAATAATTAAGGATTCTTTTTGTTAAATTTTATTTACTTAATGCAAAAATAAATATGGAAGATATAAAAAGGATATAATGTACACAATTTGTAAATATGACATACCAGCTGATGATGATATGATATAGTTGCCTACAAATTTATTTTCAGCAAGCTCTCCTTTTATTTCAGTCTTTTTAAATAATGTCTCAAAATGAAGATGAAGAGGCACATCTGGAAAAACAAAGTAAAAAAAAACTATTTTCAGTGAATATCACTTTTCATAGACTAATACTAATTTTAATAAATAGTAGATAAGCTTAGAAAGTTAGAACTTTCAGAAGCATCAAAATACATTTTCCAAGAATGTTGGTAGCAACGTTTAGGAAGGTGCTAATTAGATTCATTTAATAAACAAAAGCCAACAGGTGATCAGCTCTTAACACATCCCTAAAGTAGTAAAAAGTATAGTCACAAATATAATAATCTTAGATGAATGAAAACAAATGTACCCAAAAGGTCTTATTTAAGAAAACTTACAGCCCTCTGCCAACTGCATTTAAAATAATGAAGTTTCCTAAATGATATTATTATATGGTTTTAGTTACGTAGGGGAACACTGCTATAAACAGGATACATGAAAACTTCAAGTTTCACATTCTAGCATCCATTAGTATCAAGTGAAGCTAGTTTTACAAAGATTAAACACTGACAAGCTTGTCTACCTTTAAATACTTAGAGAAATTCAGTTTAAAATGTTTGCAGATTTTATATTCAAAATGGGAAGCCAAGTTATAAATAAGACGTGCTTCATATTTAATTAAATTTGATTATTGTGTATAAGAGGGATATGCAAGTGCTATGTGGAAGTCAGAGGACATATGATGGGACTCACTTTTCTTATTGCACCATGTGTGTTCCAGGGTTCAAGCTCAGGTTTTAGGCCTAGTGGCAAGTGCCTTTACCTCTTGAGACAGCTCTCTCTTTGGCCCAAATGTAGTATTTTTATTAAGGAGTTTTTTTTTCTTTCAAGAATATAAAAACTGGGCCAATGAGATGGCTCAGCAGGTAAGGGTAAAGCCTCTTGCTAATAAGCCTGACAACCCAAATAAGATCCCCGGAACCCACATGGTAGCAAGAGAGCATCTGTTCCTGCAAGTTGTCCTCTGGCCTCCACAAGCAAATATCATGGTGAGTGCACTCCCATGCAACATATAAAAATAAATGTAAAAAAATTGAAGAATGTAAAAACAAAATCTTTACAAATGATAGTGTCAGGCAAGGTGGTACACAGTTTTAATCTCAGTACTTAGGAGGCAAAGACAAGTGTATCTAGGAGTTTCAGACTTTCCTGGTCTACATAATGGGGGGGGGGGGAGAAAGAGAATGAATGAACGGACATCTAATGACCATCTAATGGTGTACATAATGGGGGGGGGAGAGAATGAATGAATGAATGGATGGACATCTACACTTCTTCCTGAGAAACAAATAATCTTTAAAAACAGTAAGTTTTTGCTAGTGATAAAAGATCTTTAAGAAAACTAGCTATACTGCTTATCCCAGAATAGGATACCTTTATCAATCTTTTGCCTCCCAAGGCTCAGCGTTCATTGTGGAAGAGGAGACAGAAAGATTCTAAGAGCCAGAAGAGGTGGATGATCACAAGGAAACAGTTTTCCAGACAGCTGGTCAGTTACTCATATGAATTCATCAATGGTCATAGCATGCACAAGTTACATCTAAAGCTCAAGCCAGACAAAAATCCCTGCATAGATATGGGGAAGCAAGAAACCCCAATGCTACCTGGGGAACCATTGGCAACCCATGGCTGCTGAGAGGGGGAGAGTCATTCTCACTTGAGGGTGAGACTTGGTAGGTTGACCAGGGCTCCAGTAGATGAACCTACATGAAAGGGCATGTGGGCTACAAATTGTACAGAAAATTAGGTGTGTAGTAGTAAGGGGTGTGCAGATAGGGGAGGGGTTCTAAATATGATCAATATAGTATGAAATTTGCAAAAATTCAGTAAAAAACTAGTCATACATATATCAGGATACACCAATGAAGTGTCTGGATTTTACAAAAAGAGATGAGATAAATAAGAATAGCTCTGCAGTTAAGAGCACTGGCTGCTCTTGCAGAGGACCTGGGTTTGATTCCCAGCACCCACAAGCAGCTAACAACTGTAACTCCAGTTCCAGGGGCTCTGATGCCCTCTTCTGACCTCCCTGGGCATTGCATGACATGGGTGCACTTACCTACATATAGGCAATACACTCATGCATATAAAATAAAAATAATAAGTAAAATATTAAAAAATATATTGAGTACCAACATAGACTATAGTGGAAAGGTAGGAAAATTAAGAACCGCAAATTTAAAATCACAGGGATGTGGGGGTATATATGCTTTATTTACTCAATTCTAGATTATAGAAAACTTGAGGTTCAAACTTGACTAAACCTATTAATGGACAGTTTTCTTGCAACTTGAAATTGAATGCTGATAATAAGTAAAAACATATTAGATAGTAGAACTCCGTGCAAAATGGCACAGAAGACTAAGATCAGTGGGAGAAGGAAGACTATTTGGGAAGAGGAAGGGGACCAGCAAGAGGAAAGGGAAGACAAACTAGGACAATGGTGCAGGGGATGAGTATGAACAAAGTATGTTATGACCAAGTCATGATGAAACTTATTATTTTGAACACTGACTTGCTACCAAGAAACATTTCAACATAGCCATGTTATCAATAAAAATACAATGTAACAAAAGAGATTAAAAACTAGTTATTTCCAAAGAAAATCAAATTGATTTAAAAGGAATTAGAGGGGCTGGAGAGATGGCTCATTGGTTAAGAATTGCTTTTGCAGAGGAATTATAAAAATTCCTAAAAATAGGAATTATAAAAATCAATTTACATACATAGAAAATTAATTCCAAATGTGGCTAGTTTAATTTCTTCATGAGAATGATTTAGTTCCAGTGAAAATACAACTAATAAAATTTTATGAGGTTCCCTTTATTATAGGATTAGATTTCATTACAGAAAGCATTGCTCCTTAGAAATTTTTGAGGTAGCTTACCTGATGGCAATGATAGAACGGGATGAAAAGAGGAATCTATTTTTGAAACATGTTCTCTTAACATCTGAGACTTGGAATTGTGTTCACAGTTACCCCAACTTGAAGCTGATGGCAGGTAAGGCATTTGCGTAACATTTAAAAATGCATCCTTTGAAGGTGAAGTCTGCAAGTAGAAAATATAATTTAAAGGTTCTATTTTTGCTTTAAAATGTGATCCAAGACAGTTTAACAGTTATAATAAGGTGTCTGAATGCCATCAGAAGAAAAGTCCTGGCTTACTAAATCAATCCGAAGAGCTTTCAAAAGATTTAAGGGCTGGAGAGTTGGCTCCGTGGTTAGGAGCACTTGCTACTCTTACAGAGGACCTGAGTTCCATTCCCACCCCATGTGAGGTGGTTCACAACTATCTCCAGAGGATCTCTTCAGGACTGGCACTCCTGTGCACAGACACACACACACATGCACACACACACTTAAAAGTAAAATGATGTGCATGATGGTGTACGCCTTCAATCCAAGCAGAGGCAGGTGTGTCTCTGTGATTTGAGGCCACCCTTATCTACATAATGAGTTCCAGGCCATCTGGGGGAGATTATGTGTGAGAAAAACTGATGATGATGATGATGATGATGATGATGATGATGATGATGATGATGATGTTGTTGTTGTTGTTGTTGTTGCTGTAGGATAAATGACAGAAGCAAATGCATTGACCACAAATCTGGTGAGGTGTGACTAGCCCCTTTTGGGTTATTCAAAATGAAGTGCAATGCCCATGAAAATAAGTCTTTCTCCCATAAAAGGAAGTCACAATAAAGAGAGAAGATTCTGTACCATTGGCCTAGTCCTTCATTTACTTGGTCATACTTAATTACAATAAACTAAATATTTCCTATAAAAGTCTTGTACATCTGGAGCAAGAGAGATGGCTCAGCAGTTAAGAAAACTTGTGGCTCTTCTGGAGAAATTGAGTTCAGCTCCCAGAACCCACGTCAGGTGGCTCACAACCACCTGTAACTCCAGCTTCAGGCAATCTGATGCCACCTTCTAAGCTCTTGCATACATGTGGTATACACACATGAAGACATACATCCACACAAGTTTTAATGTATAAAGCCTTATACATTTTACTAGATGTTTTCAGTTTAATATTGTTTCCATTGTAAAAGATATTTAAAATGAAATTCACTTTTATGTATTGAACATGTCCCCACAAGTGTGCTCAACTTTCTTATTCTACCAATGAATTTAGCTTCCTTTAGTCTTCAGTAGGAGATAATCCAAATATACTATTTTCAAGTCATTTTCATTTAATCCTAATTATCTTTATTATTATTATTATTTGAAAATTCTAGCCATACTGCATGTTCACTATTAAAGTAAAAAACTAAAAAATAACCAAAGGAGGGGCTGGAGAGATGGCTCAGAGGTTAAGAACACTTGCTGATCTTGCAGAGGATCCAGGTTTGATTCCCAGTACTCACATGGCAGTTAACAACTGTCTATACCTCCAGTTCCAGTGGATCCAACACCCTCTTCTGGGTCATTGCACACATGTGTGCACTTACATACATGCAGGCAAAACGCTCATACACATAAAAAAAAACCTATTTTTTAAAATGAAAAGAAAAATGACCAAAGGAAATATTCTTTTTTGCAAGTGATATTGAAAGGAATGACCTCAATTTATAAAACTTTAAAATGATGTAGGTAGAGCTGGGGACATGGTTTAGAGAACATGATTCAGATCCCCAACACCCATGTAAAAAACCACATCTGTCAGCATGCTCCTGTAATCCCAGTGATTGGAGGTAGAGACAGGAGGATACTGAAGGCTCACTGACCAGCCATTTTAGCCAACTGACAAGCTCCCAGTTCAGTGAGAGACCCTGCCTCAAAAAATAAGATGAAAAACAAGAAAGGCATACTCTGGGCATCAATCTGGCCTCCACACAAATACAGGTGCACACACATGAACACACACAAATTTTCTTTAATGACGTGAATTGTAGGACTTTCATGATATGTTTACCAAAATATATTTCCAGTTTGCCAAGAACTTTTAAAATATATTAATAGTGAATTTTATCATATGCTTTTTCTGAACTTACTACATGCTTTTCCTCTTTATCACTGTAGTAAAATGTATTAACAGATATATAAATGCCAAGTCAAATGGGTTATTTTGAAGAATCTTAGGAGTTTGTTAGATTTACTTTTCCAAAAATGAGGCAATTGGTTCTGTTGACTTGTGATATTAGATATTTGTCTTATATTTCTTTGATTCCTGCCTTCCTGTACAATTAAATATTTTGCTACATTTTCCCCTCTGTTAAATAAATATATTATTCAAATTATTTGTGTGTGTGGCATATGAGTGTGTACGTATTCATCTGTGTGTGTGCACATGAGTGCACAAGTGCAAGCCCCAGTATGTTCATGTGTAGAGGCCAGAGGTTGATGTCAGGCATCTTCCTCTGTAACACTCCACTTTAATTTTGGTGACAGAGTCTCATACTGAAGCTGGAACTCACCATTCAGTAAGACTGGCTGGCCAGCAAGACCCAGGAATCCTCCTGCCTCTGCCTCCCCTGTGCTGGGATTGTAATTATGTGCCGCTGCTCATGGCTTCTTATATGGGTGAGGGATGCAAACTCAGGTCTTCATGCTTGTACAGCAAGCATTTTACTGAGTATATTACTTACTTTTCTATTGCTGTGATAAACATTATGACCAAAACACTTATTCAAAAACTAATACATACAAACCAAGATTATGCTCTTTCTATAAGTGTGCAACATTCACATACATAAGACTTATGTTGAACCATAAAACAAATCTCAGTTCATTTAAAAAGCCTGACCGAAATCATACAAAACTTTTTTTAATCACATGGCAATTAGAATACAGATCAATAATATTTGGAAATTAATTCTAAATAATACAAGGTAAGTGAAGAAATCAGAAAGTATTTTGAGCTGAGAATATTTTTTAAATCTTCAGAATACTAGGACAGTGTTCAAAAAGGAAACATTATATGCTTAGATTAACAAAGAAGCTAGGAAAAAGAATTGGAATTAAGCCTAAAGTAGGCAGCATGTGCGTATGATAACCAGACACTCCTAGCAGACTGGCTGAAATGAAAAGCATTGATCATATTGGCTTATGGCATACATTAAGAAGCCAGAAATCCTATGTATTATTTCTGATGGTAATGTGAAATGAAACTGTCCAAAATACAGTGACACAAAAAGTTGTACAAGAATATATTAGCAGCTTTATTAGTAATAGTCCAAATCAGCAACAATTCAGATAACCAATAGTAGATAAATTGTATAACCACACAATGTATAACCACTGTTTTATGCTTTCTTTAATCCTTAGTTTCCTGATATTTCCTTTTACCCTCATTAGCAATCATTCTATTATGTTTGATCTGGATTGCTTTACTTATATGCATTATTACAGAACTCAATAAAATTTAAATATTTAAATCTATGTACATGGTATTGCTCTATTAATCTCGCTCTGTTACCATTTGCCTATATCAGGTAATATAGTACTCTAGGTCAAAAAAAGTCCCAGCTTTGAGTCATTTCATTCCCCTTCTAAGCTATTCATATTTTTGAGCATATATTAAGTTATTGAGTTTCAAAAATAGCAAAAGTTTTTTTTTTTGTATTTTATTTTTTTTATTTTATGTGTATGTGTGTATTGCCTGCATGTAGGTAAGTGCACCCACGTCGTGCAATACCCGCGAAGGACAGAAGAGGCTGTCGGATCCCCTCGGACCGGAGTTACGGACAGTAGTTAGCTGCCATGTGGATGCTGGGATTCAAACCCAGGTCTTCTGCAAGAACAACCAGTGTTCTTAACCACTGAGCCATCTCTCCAGCCCCTCAAAAAATATAATTTATATCTAAAAGGTTTTTTTTTAGCATTTTTGTTGAATTTTTGCGATTTCCAGACAATACTATTTGATGACAATTATATCCCCTCTCCCATCTGCACCTCCCTACATCCCCGCCCCCAACACTTAATTCAATGTATTCTCTTTGGGTAATAAAGCCTATAGAGTCTAACTAGAATCCCCAAATGTTCTCCAACATGGGTTCATCCACTCAAGTTTGCATAGGACTTGTGCATGCTGTCACCATTGCTGTGAGTTCATATGAGTAACTGGTCAACTGTCTGGAGAACTCTGCCCCACCCCCCACCCACCCATGGTCATCCACTACGTCTGGCTCTTACAATCCCACTACCTCCTCCTCTACAATGATTCCCAAGCCCTGAGCTCCAGGAACCTGACAGAGGCATCCCACCCAGAGATAAGTGCTCTGCAGCCCCTTCCTCCCTGCACATTACAAAGCCATAAGTTTGTGTGTCAATCACCATCTGCTTCATAAGGAAACTTCTCCAGTGAGAGTTGCATTAATCTTCAACAGTGGGTGAGCACCTGATCTAGCACAGTTCATTCCAAATATCCCTCCTGGGACTGAGAGTCCCTATTATTAAAAGGGTACCACTCATGGGAGGGGGCCAAATCTCTGGGTCACTGGAGGTGAACCATAGCTCCATCTCATTGGAGGGGACCACAGCTCCAGCATACAAGAGGGGAACCACAGCTCCTGCTCACAAGTGGGGAACCATAGCTCCAGCTTACAGGAGGGGAACCAGAGCTCATTCACATGAGAGGACCACAGCTTCAGCTCATAGGAAGGGAACCACAACTCCAGCTCATAGGAGAGGACCAGGACTCCAGCCCACAGAGGACCATAGCTCCAGCTCCCAGGAGGGGAACCACAGCTCCCGCTCACAGGAGGGGTCCACAGCTCAACTCCGAAGTAGGGGGCACAGCTCCAGCTCATAGAAGGGGACCACAGCTCCAGCATACAACAGGAGAACTTAAGTTCTCTTTCTTAAGTTCTCAGGCTCAAACAGTGTTTCTCTCTGCATGTATAAAGCACACTCATGTCCTGTGATGCCCATGGCATTCAGAAGAGGGTGTTGGATCCCCTGGAACACTGCTGCTTCATTTGACTGGCTAAAGTTTTGGTCCACTGGTCAAAATCCTTCAGATATAATCCTCTGGATAGAGCAGATTCAGCTGGTGCCTGGGTCCCGCTCCCGCCAACCGTGCAGATCCCCACTCATTTCTCAGCT